ATGTAATGAAACAAGTTATATGAATTGTTGAATGTGAAACTGATGATGTGCCCTGTAAACTTTCACTCAATCCACAATAAAAACCTAAAATTTTTTTTTTAAAAAAAAGCATGTTCAATATTCAACCATTTCAAGAGGTAGCATATGATCAAGAAACTATGGTACTGAAAGAAGAAGTCCAAGCTGCACTAAAGGCTTTAATGAATAACAAATTTGGAGGAACTGACATAATACATACTGAAATCTTTCAACAAACTGATGTTTGTTGAAAGTACTGACAGTATTCACTCATTTATATGCCAAGAAATTTGGAAGACAACTACTTGGCTGGCTAAGTGATTGGAAGAGATACATATTTGTGCACATTCCAAAGAGAGGTAACCTAATAGAAAGCAGAAATCATGGAACAATATCATTAATATCACATGCAAGTAAAATTTAGCTGAAATTTTTCAAAAAGTATTAACAATAGTACACTGACACAGTATCACCAGAAATTCAAGCCAGATTCAGAAGAGGTCATGGACCTAAGGATATCATTGTTAATGTCAGATGGATCTTGGCTGAAAGCAGACAATACAAGAAAAATATTTACTTATGTTTTATTGACTTTGAAAGACTTTCAACTGTGTGGATCATGACAAAATATGGATAACGCTGCAAAGAATGGGTATTCCAGAACACTTAATTTTGTTCATCAGTAACCTAAACATAGACCAAACAGCAGTCGTTCAAACAGAACAAGGGGCCACTAAATGGTTTGAAGTCAGGAAAGGTGCATGCCACTTAACAGCAACAACAACATGGTTAAAAAGTCAAGAAAAAGAATTCATGTCAAAAGAAAATTTCTATGATGGTTACCAGGACTTGAAACGAAGGGAGAATTATGCATTGCCTTGTTGTTGTTAGGTGCCATCGAGTCGGTACCAACCAGTACCAACATTATGCATAGCAGAATGAAACAGGTTGGCCTGATCTTGGGCCAACCTCACTAATGTTGCCACGCTTGAGTCCATCGATGCTGTCACTTGGCCAATCCATCTCATTGGGGGTCTTC